GCCGCCGCGTCGCCTCCCGTCTTGTTGGTCCAATTTTTTCCACGACCACCATCTGCCGACTTATGCCATCGTCCACCAACCACCCCCCTCTCCTAGTTCGCCCATAAATAATAACTTTAATGCGTTCGACCCCTCCTCTCCCCCACACAGCAATAGCCCTTCTGTTTGGATGGCCCCCCCACTCAAACGAATAACAGGTTGTGCTCGCATCCCGTCCCCCCCTGTCTGCTCCCTCCACCCCTGCCCCCCACACCCGGTTAAGGAGAATTCATGTATACCGTCCGTCCAGTGCTCCTCCTTCCATAGAGAGCGCGCGTGCGTGCTGTTCTCTTTTTTTTTTGCGATCACACACACACACACACACACACACACACACACACACACACACACACACACACACACACACACACACACATCAATGTGCATGCACATGGCAGATGACCTTGCTATTTTCGACATTGCATGCAACGCTGCGTTGAAGGCGGCAATGAAGAACGACAAGGACATGCACGCAATCACGGAGGCCGCACAGAAGGCCCTCAAAGGTGCAGCCAGAACCCAGCTGAAAATTTGGGCGGGCAGGGTGCCTGTGTATGGTTGTGTGTGTGTATGGTTGTGTGTGTGTGTGTGTATGGTTGTGTGTGTGTGTGTGTGTGTGTGTGTGTGTGTGTGTGTGTGTGTGTGTGTGTGTGTGTGCATGAGCATGACACTGGCCATCAACTTGCAACTCACATGCCGTCATGTGTGGTATTGCGTTCAGATTACGCCATGTCTTCCTCGAGCCACCATGAGGACCTCGTCACACACATTGCACAGCTCTCCCGGACACAGGCCGTCATCACGGTACGGTCGTGCGCGTATGTGCGGGCGTGTATGTGATGGTTGCTACCGCTGCTCTTGCTTGAATGCACTACCATCACCACCTCCACCATCATCATGACCACCACCACCACCATCATCATCATCACCATCATCATCATCATCATCATCATCATCATCATCATCATCATCATCATCATCATCATCATCAACATCATCATCATCATCATCATCATCATCATCATCATCATCATCATCATCATCACCATCATCATCACCATCATCATCATCATCATCATCATCATCATCATCATCATCACCATCATCATCACCATCATCATCATCATCATCATCATCATCATCATCATCATCAACATCATCATCATTACCACCACCACACACACACACACACTCTCTCTCTCTCTCTCTGCATGTGAACACGTGCAGCGGACAGCGGCCGAGGGCGCTGATGCCATCAAACGCGACATCGAAGCGGCACAAAAAGCCGTCAAGGCCGCCGAGGACAAGGTGGGCTGGTGGTCTTGCACTAGTCATCGTCGTGTCGCAGTAACCGTCGGATACACACACACATACACACAAGCAAGCGCGCGCACACACACACACACATACACACAAGCAAGCGCACACACACACATGCACACGGCGTGTGAGGCTACAGCCTTCCACCACTGATCTCATTCATGACCATACTTTTGTGCGTGTGTGTCAGGTCGAGCGTGTGTTTGAAAGCGACGTTGCGAGCGGAAAGCGTCCAAACCTCTCCGTCACCGTGGATGAGGGTGCGTGTCTTGTCTTGTTTGGTGGTGAAGGCTTCACCAGAAGTCACCCATCCTTCACCTACATGCTTGGGGATGTTGTACTTCTGGTCCCAACACACCTTGTACACACACACACACACACACACACACCCGCACACACACACACACACACACACACACACACACACATACACACATTTGCGCATGTGTACATCCCCCTCATACATGTGACGTTTCTGGCATTCCTAACTTGTTTGCAGGTCGCTGTCACCAAGTGAAGACGAGTACAGATCCCTGGTTCATCTTTGAAGAATATCTCGAACGCCACAACGTCAGTGCACACACACACACACACACTTGTGCTCTGCGCAATATGCACGTTCACACTGCGCTCACACACCTGTCCATCCACCTGCGTATGTGTGTGTGTGTGTGTGCAGTTGCGTCTGATTGATCTGTTCAAGCGCTTTGACAAGAACAACGACGGCAACATCACGCGCGAAGAGTTTATCCAAGGCGTGAAGGTGTGTCGCTGCCACGTGCATGCATGCGTCGATATACGCCTACTGTGCATGCTGAAAGTGCCCGTCCAAGCGTCCTTGCAAGCATGATCTCAATGCATAACTGTAAGAGTGTTATGTGTCGTGCTCATGCGTAACTGGTGTGCCATCGTGTTCTCGGTGCTGTCCGATTGTGTCTTCAGGTGATTGGCGTTCAGTTGGATGAAGCGCAGATCCAGTTCCTGCTCGATTCCCTCGACGAAGACAACGACGGCCTCGTCGACTACCACGTAAAACACATGCACACACATGCACACACAACCGCACAACCGCACAACCGCACACACGCACACACGCGCACATTCCAGTGCGTATAAGAGGCAGATGGCATGTTGTTACGATTGTTACCGTGTGTCCGTGTCAACATGCCGGCTCACATGTTCATGCGCTGTGCTTGATGTAGGAAATGAACAACAAGCGAACGGCGATCAAGACCGCACAGGCGGAGAAGTTTATCAAGGTTTGTCGTCACCAGGCTTGCACCTGCACGTTGTCTTGTACATTCGTGTTCCCTCTTCGTCTTCGTATGAGCACTCACACACACACACACACACACACACACACACACACACACACACACACACACACACTGTACACGCGCAGGATCAAGAGTTCCTGAATCGCGCCAAGAGTTCGCAGATTGGGAAAACGGCACTGAAGGACGTCACCGTGAAGGTGCAGCGTGTGAATTTGCGAATATGACCTGATTGCGCATTGCACACCAAAACACACACACACATGAATACACACACACACACAGATACACACACACGCACACGCACGCACCCTCTCGCACACACACACACACACACACACACACACACACACACACACACACACACACACACACACACACACGTTCACGCGCACGTTTCGTCCAAACTTCAGGTTGATCTCGTTGGACGCACCGGTGGCGGTTTGCACATTCGCCGCAATGATGACAGCGATGACGACTGAACACATGACACTCTGCTGCTTTTCTTGTGTGGGGGTGCCTGCTGACAAACCAACTATTGAATGAATGCTTGCTGGGATGTGTGTGTGTGTGTGTGTGTGTGTGTGTGTGATGTTCAGGGTGATGATGATGACGATGACGATGTGTATTTGGAGTTGTCGATTTCGCTGTGCTCATGCCACAGCAGCGTATGGTACTTTGAGATCGTTTGTTGTTGTTGTTTGTTGGATGGTTTGACGCGCAATGCAAAACCGGACAGCAAATTAACTGGGCACAACCGAAACAGCAAGGCTACACGACGAAAAAGAAAGAGGAGAAGAAGAAGGAAGTCAAAGAAGCGACTCGAACAAGCGAAACTCACATCAACTCACATCAACTCACATCGACCAACAGCAGATGAACAGCGATCTGAGACACAAGAAACAGAAACAGGCAACACGGCTTGGCCGTGGTGTTAGTGAGTGACCACCTTAACCCACAGCTACACTGCGCGATGCAGAGCAAAGACGCAAGCTAAGACCACCCAACAACCCCCAAGCACTTGCACTCGCGTGCATATTGTGACATGGGTTCGGCGAGCGAAGTACGAAGGGAAGAGGAGGCGAGGGCGTGAAGTTGCAGAGAGAAGAGAGAATTGGGGGGGGGGGGGAAATGAGGGAGGAGCGATAGGTTTAGTCGTCTGCGTCAAGGAAGAAGTAGTTGCCGGCGCGCTTCTGCTCCACATCCTTGACAGAGTCCAGCTGCAGCCGAGGAAAAAAACAGTATATGGGATGAGGAAGGAGTGCCCACTCGTAGTTTGAGGTGAAATGGAACAAAGCAGGAGGTGAACGAACAGCGTACAAGTCGTGCGCGTGGACTCTGTGCTCGTGTGGTCGAAGGAAGCGATCCTCCACACACACACACACACACACACACACACACACACACACACACACACACACACACGCGCGCGCGCGCGCGCAAGCAAACGAGGCCACCTTGTTGATGCGTGGGCGGTAGTTTGTGGGGTCTCTGCGGAATGTGATCTCGAGCATCTCCAGGAAGCGGTTCATGCCCGTCAGCAGCGGCTGCGGCGCCGTCGCAACGGCCTCTTTCGACGGCGTGCCTGCAGGCATGTACACACCAATACCAATGGGTGAGAACGACCCGGGATTTGTTTTTTTTTGGGGGGGGGGAGCATAGGCGTCGCATGATACGTACCACAAGCACCAGCGCAACACTAACAACACACACACACACACACACACACACACACACACACACACACACACACACACACACACACACACGCACGCACGCACGCACATTCATCGGACCTTCAAAGACGACGACTTGGTCTGCAAGGTAAGTGGCCATGATGAAATCGTGCTCCACAATGAACGCCGTCTTCTTGCCGTGCAGAACGAACCGCTTGATCACCTGTGCAACGCACAACAGTCGAGGGAGGAAGGGGCGGCATGTTGTGTGAGGAGTGGTGGAAGAGATGCATGTTAACGGGACAAGGTTATGTCTGTGCATGTGTGCGTGTGGTTGTGTCCATCGTGTACGCACCTTTGCAGCCACGAGGCGCTGCTCAGAGTCGAGGTACGCGCTCGGCTCGTCAATCAGGTAGATGTCAGCGGGCTTGCCCAGCGCCACCGTGATGGCAACACGCTGCAACTCGCCGCCAGACAGATGTTGCACCTGCTCGTCGTCGTCGTCGTCGTGCAGGCGATGAACAGGTTGTGTTGTGTGATAAAAAAGAGTGCGGTGGTGAGGAGGTGGACGTGAACCCCACAGCAAGCCAAAAGCGACGGCACACACAACACAGCACAGCACAACACAGCACAACACAAAGGAAGGCGGTGCAAGTGCGTACGTTCTGGTCGTAGAGCGGCTCAATGAGCATCGGCTTGAGCACATCCGAAGAGAACTGAACATACACGCACACACGCACACACAGGGAGCAATCAAGGCAGAGCGGTGAGTGTTGGCATGTGAAAAGCGATACCTGCCAGCCCTATCTCTCTCTTCGGATTCATCGCCTTGCTCAAATACGAGGCGACACAACACAGCACCATCATCACCACTCCGAGGGGTTGACTGTAGCAGCAGCAGCAGCAGCAACAGCAACCGTGCATGCGCGTACCTGCGGGTGGATCATTGCCTCGCGAATCTTCCACATGAGGAGGTCGCGGACGGAGCCGTCAAACTTGGCCGAGATCTTCTGCGGTTTGTAGCTCATGTTGAGTGTGGGCACCTCTGTCTCCTCGTCATCCGGCTGCAGCAGCCCTGCGAGCCTGCGTGCACCAGTTGCGTGCACGGGGCAGTGGAATTTGAGAGGTGAAGGACGGGAGATGTGGGGTCATGTGGTGGAGATCATGTACAACCATTCATTATCACGGTCAACGACACAGTGGTGGTGGTGCTGGCGGTGGTGGTGGTGGCAGCGGAATGGGGACAAGTCAAGCAACCTTGTTTCACATACCCGACACACACACACACACACACACACGAACGAGGAAAAGCAGAGCGCAGCAGGAGCAGGAGAAAGACGTACATGCGAATGAAGGTTGTCTTTCCGGTACCGTTCTCGCCAAGGAGCACAACAATCTGAGAATCGCTGAACTTGCCCGCCTGCAAACGCAACACACGCGTGTGATTAGAGTAATGTGAGCGTATCAGGCATGCATATAGTTTAGTCTTCAAAACAGAAGCCTTTGAGAAGCACAACCCATGCAACCATCGTGCAGAAAAACCAACTCACACACACTCACACACACGCACACACACACACTACACAACCCCCATGTACCGGTGGTAAGCGTTCGCAACGCGAGCGTGCCGACCTTGATGTTGAGCTTGAACTTCCCGAGGGTCTTCTGCATGTCGGGGTAGTCGTAGTGGTGCAGCTGCTTGACAAGCTCCTGGTCCACGGCATCGGCCACCTTGAACGAGAGCGACGCCTCCCGGAAACGAAGGTTCTCCGTCGGCACAAACCCGTCAAGGAAGATGTTGATGCCTGCGCAGCACAGGGGCCGTGGCAATCAACGATTCAAGCAAGGGGGGAGGAAGCAAGGAACAGAGTAAGTGCGTGAGTGAATGTGTGAGTGAGCACGTGCGTGAGTGTTTGTGCTGGACACTGGGAAGGGTCAGCTGTAACACATCCCACAGAACACATCCCACAGAACACCTCAATGTCCACATGCCATCCATCCCACAAACACTTGTGCGAGTGCACGCCACACGTCTTCCAATTCAAGAGCCCACCCTCCGAAGGGCAGAGCAAATTGAAACAAAGAGGGCGACTGACCTTCGCGGACGCTGAATGGCATGGTGACGACACCGTATGCGCCGGGAACACCGTAGAGGCAGCACACAAAGTCCGACAGGTAGTCAAGCACACTCAGATCGTGCTCGACAACAATGATGAAGCTGGCACACGTGCACAGTGGTGGTGGTGGCGGTGGCAAGAAAAGAGAATGCTGTGAGAAGGGGACTCTGTGTGTGCGTGCGTGTGGGCGTGTGCGTGCTTTGTAGTGACATGGCAGATAAGTGCAGTCACACAGCACACAATCATGCACACGAGTAAGGGTTGCGTCCCCCTTACAGCTCCTCCTCTTCCCTCTGCCATTCCATGCACCCTTGACAAGCAGCGGGGCAACGGTGCCAAAGTGGCGCAAGAGAGAGGATGTGGGACTGACTTCTTGTCGGTGAGGAGGGAGCGGATGACCTTGGCGGCGGTGAGGCGCTGCTTCACGTCGAGGTACGACGACGGCTCGTCAAACATGTACACATCCGCCTCCTGCACACACACAGACGCGCAGGTGAACCGCTGCAGCTCGCCGCCAGAGAGCACGCGCACCTCGCGGTCCCGCAGGTTGTTCAGCTCAAACATGTCGCAGTAGTGCTGTACAGCAACGTCAGTGGAGAGAAAGGGGGGAGAGGGTTGACGGACGTGAGCTGCGGGAAGGAAATAGGGGGGAGGTGGGGGTAGTTACGCGGACAGAGCGGCGCCAGCAAGTGGCGCACGGCGCTGCAGCAAGCTTCTACCCAACGGCACACAACACACAACACAACGCCAGTTACACACACAAACGGGGTCAACGCACATCCTGCATCTTGCGCTCGTCCTTCCTGTCCATCATGTCCTGCACGGAGCCCTTGACCACCTTGGCAACCTTGTCCACATACTGCGGCTTGATCACCGCCTTCAGGTCGTCCTCTGCACACCACACGACGCATCGCGCCAGCAATGAGAGGAGGTGCGCGCAGTGAGCGCAACACATATGTGCACAAGCACAAGCACAAGCACAGCCGGAACAGCGCGGTTGTAGTGTGACAAGCAATGCAATTCACATGCAGTGCAGACGAGCTATCATGTGTGTGTGTATGTGTGTGTGTGTTTGTGTGTGTGTGTGTGTGTGTAATCATGGTGGCTGGCGGCCTCTGGTTGCGCCTGGGGGATCGTGCCCATTGTGTCCACCTTACCGAGGATGCGGGTGAAGTAGTTCTGCAGCTCCGAACCGCGGAAGTACTGAGAATTTCAACGCACGGGCACGACTAGATGTGAGCGCAGTGCTATGCTGACCGTCATGATAGTGAGCGGGACAGCGGTGCGTGTACAACACGTTCACGGTAGCATATCGATCACGCGTGCACGAATCAAAACAAAACGCAACGCATGCATGCGGGGCTGTGCTGTTGATCATCTTCACCTTGAGGATTTCTTGCCACTCTGGCGGCTTGTCAAACCGACCGAGGTTTGGTTTCTGGAGTAAAGCAGTAGTGAAGAGCAACGTGAGGGGGAGGGGGCACTGCGCCACTGCCACATCGCACGCAGTCACAAGCATGGCTCGCACACACACACACACACACACACACACACACACACACACACACACACACACACACACGCACACACATTCACAAGCATGGCTCGCTCACACACACACACACGCGCGCGCGCGCACGCACACACACACACACACACACAGAGGAAGAGCGGCACGTGTTGCGGCACGCACCAGCTTGTTCGACAGAATCTTGAGAGCTGTGGACTTGCCAATACCGTTTGTACCGACGAGGCTACGATGACATCAGATGGTTCAGTGCACAAGGCATTAGCGCACGAATACACGCATCTCGTGTACGCATCTTGCACATGCAACACACACACGCACACACACGCGCGCACACACGCACGCACACACACGCACGCACACACACACACACACACAATGCACGTTGCCTGCTGCTCCTGCAAGACAAGGTCTCACTCACCCGAGCACTTCGCCTGGACGAGGCATGGGAAGGCGGTGCAACTTGAAAGAGTTGGGGCCATAACGGTGGGTGGTGTCCTTGTCCAGGTTCTTTGGCAAGTTGATGATGTTGATGGCGCCAAAGGGGCACTTCTTCACGCAGATGCCGCAACCAATGCACAGCACCTCCGAAATGTTGGCAATCTGTGGCGTCATCCCCCATGACAACAACCAGTGAGATGGTTCATGCATCAAGACGTGCACCAGCCGTGTTGCAGCGAGCACCCACCCTTGAATTGCGTGTGCCAAGCAAGCCATGCCGAGCATCTGTGCAGTGACCAGTGGCAAGCACCGCTGTACCTTGCTTGTGGGAGTGACCTCAATGCACATCTTGCCCATGCGCACGACGGGGCACGAGCGCTTGCACTCCTGCCGGCATCGCTTGGGCTTGCATTTGTCATGGTTGACAATGGCAATACGCGTCAGCTTGTCACTCCTGAGACGGTGTGTGTGTGTGTGTGTGTGTGTGTGTGTGTGTGTGTGTGTGTGTGTGTGTGTGTGTGTGTGTGTGTGTGTGTGTGTGTGTGTGTGTGTGTGTGTGTGTGAGGGAGGATTGGGTGAGTGTGCAATCCAGCAACTGGGTCCGAGAGGCAGCGGCGCCGAGACTCACGCACGCAGAGCTCAAACCTGCAGATCAACCCCCCCCCCCCCACCACACACACACACCCACACACGTTCACGCACTGCCAACTGCCCAAACCATGGCATGCCGCATAACCGCAGCCATCAATTCACGCCCAACACAACTCACATCTTGGCTGCCTTTCACACGTGTGATGTGGACGATCAGTGAATATTTTCCATAACCTTTCGCCAGTCGAGCCTCCCTTCGCTGGCACAGTCAGCACGCACACACACCACACCACAACGCACACAGAGACGTTCGCAGCCTCTGCTGCTATCATCACATCACAAAGCATGCCACTGTCTTCCTCTTCTTCTTCTGCGACGACAACAACGACCACAATGGAAGGGAAAGCTGACTGGCAGCAGCCAGGCCAAGGCGCAGCCGACCCACAACAGCAGCTGAGAACAGCGCTGGGTGTCTTCAAGAACGCACAGACGGACGAGGTATTGTCGTGCGCTACAAGCAGCCATGACCATCTGCTTGCATGGTCGCTGGCGAAGTGAACGTCTGCTTGAACTGGTTGCCCTCCGTCTCTCCCTCTCTCGCGCATAACCATGCGTGCAATTGTACTGCTATCCAGTCACATTTCACTCACTCGCTCGCTATTCACTGCCCCTCGTGCGTGCTCACAATCCCACAACCACACACTCACACACGCCCAATTCCTCACACACGCCCAATTCCTCACACACACACACACACACACACACACACACACACACACACACACACACACACACACACACACACACACCACTGTACAGCAACGGTTTGTCGGACTGCTACTGTTGGCAAAAGGCACACCTCCAAGTGATGCATCTGACGTGGAGGCTGTTGAGAAGGTTGTGGGCTACTCGTTCCTGAAGCGGCTGCTCAACTCGCACGGCGACCAGAACGTGGGCCTGCTGTACCCACGCCTGGCCATGTCCATCCTGTCCCTGTACGCCGCATCCGACTGCATTGCACGTTCCAAGTCGTTTGCGCACATCCTCCCCAACGTGGTGAATGCGCTTGTACGCCTGCTGGAAACGCCATCCGAGCAATCAGGCGACACCGACGCCGTGCCGGTCAACCCGAGGCAGCCGCGCCCGCGTCACAGCGGTCATGATGGCGACGATGATGGCGTGGAGAACCGTGGCGACGATGAAGACAGCAGCGGGAAGGCTGCAAACACAGCTGCAGCCACCAGGGAGGAGGTTGAGGAAGGCAACGGTCAAGATGAAGGCAACGGTGATGGTGAAGAAGAAGAAGGTGCCGACATCCAACAGCCGCCACTGTCACCATCAGATCAGGCTGTCTTTGACGCCCTGCACATCCTCATCACCGCCCTCGACTACAATCACAAACCGAGCCTCCCTCCACGTACGTTCGTGCGCGTGTGCGTGCGTGTGTGCGTGTGTGTGTCTGTGTGTCTGTGTGCATCTGTGACTGTGTGTGTGTGTGTGTGCGCGCGCGCATGTGGGTTTGTTTGTCTGTGTGTGATCCACTGTATCTGCCTCTGATGGCTGCGCGTGTGCGCCATTCACCTCCCACTCATATCACACCCTCTCCCTCGCATCCTCCCACTCGTTTAGAGCTGCTGCCTGACCTGAACGCGTGGCTCGAGGACCGCGGTGTGGATGCACCACAGGCGCCCATGTCAGCCCTGCTTGCCTTTGCCTACCGCATCGGCCTCCTGTATCCGTCCATGCACGCCACCACCGCCGTCTTCCTGGCGCACGTGTTTGCCACGCGTCATGACGAGTACAAGCTGGAGAGTGCAAAGGCCCTCACGTCGCTGCTGCAGTCAGTCTCCCCTGCCGCCTTTGCTGCCGCGCCCACACCGCACGTCATCCTCTACCCCAGCACCACCAGCAGCAGCAGTAGCAGTAAAGGAGGCAGCCACACACGCGCAGACAAGAAGAGCGCCGGCAGTGTTGGTGATGCTGGTGCCAATGATGATGGCGATGATGATGACGACGAGCCGTGCAAGAACTGGTTCTCCTCTGTTGTGCGGACGAGCAAAGCGCTATTGCAGCACAAACTTGGCCCCCGCGAGCGCCGTTTGGTGCTGCAGCTCATATCTGCCGCCGTCGCACACGCCCACTTCAAGCACCTCCCCACCCCGACCCTCAACGAGTAAGCGCTGGCACGTCGGTGGGTGGTGTATGTGTGTGTATGTGTGCGACTGTGTGTTGAGGGAGGGTGCGTGTACACACAAGGATCACAAGGATTTGAGCTCACAATCTTGTCCGTCATCTCGCCTTGTATGTGTGTGTGTGTGTGTGTGTGTGTGTGTGTGTGTGTGTGTGTGTGTGTGTGTGTGTGTGTGTGTGTGTGTGTGTGTGTCCTTGTGTATGCAGATGTCTGCCACTCATTTGTCGCCGCGCCGCCATTGAAGTTCGCATGGCGCTTGAGCAGGAGCACGTGAGTTGTGACGCCTGTTTGCCTGCATGCACCTTGCCTGCATGCATGACTGCGATCTGCACAGTGGTTTGAAGGAGTATCGTTGCAACACCACCTGCATCTCATGGAATGAATATACGCTCACATGTTCGCACTTCTGTGTGTGTGTGTGCAGCTTGAGAGCTGCATTGAGGATGTTGAGCTGACCGCCTGCTGCTTCTTCATCGTCGAGGACTCCATCTCATGTCTCGGTACGCAACAACTCGCACAGCTGCGCTGCGCTGTGCTCTGCGTGTGTGTGTGTGTGTGTGTGTGTGTGTGTGTGTGTGTGTGTGTGTGTGTGTGTGTGTGCGCGTAGATGTGTGTATTTTTCCGTCTATCATGTGTCACCCTCCGTCTGCGTTTGCATGTGCATGTGCTCACTGCACCTCGCTTCTGCCCACTTGTTGTGCTTGATCTTCAGTGAACCGCGGTGATGAAATGGAAACCGCCAGTCTTGAAAACGCCCTCTCTGGGTGCAAGGTGAGCAGACACACAAACAGCAGAGCAGCTGCATGAGTGCTTGTGCGTGCAGACTTGTGTCTTCCCTCCTTCAACCTTCGCACCGCGCACGTTCACATGTACACACACACACACTCACACGGACACGCACACACACACTCTCTCTCCCTCACACACACACTCTCTCTCTCGCACACACTCGCACACGCACACACTCACACACACACACACACCTCTACACTCGCGCATGTGTTCGCCCTGCAGATGACGGTTGAGGCTGTGCTGTTCTTCACTGCAAACAGCAGCGACAACGCGTGGGAATCGCAGTCCGAGCGGGTGCTGCTGCTGCTGGCCGGGTGTGCACGCGTGCTTGGGGCGTGGTTTGCCGAGAACGACAATGGCATCGATCAGGTTTGGCGCGCGGATGACGGGTGATTGCATGCTCGCGCACAGCTTTCGCACTCTGTTACACGTGGATGCACTCTCTCACTCGCACACATATGTGCGAGCACTGTCTCACCCGCACATACAAGTCACTCACTCACTCACACACATGTGACTCATTCACTCACTCACTCACTCACTCTCTCACTCACTCACTCTCTCACTCTCTCACTCTCTCTCTCTCACTCTCTCACTCACTCACACTCTCACTCACTCTCACTCACACCACCACCACCTCCTCGCATCAGTTCCTTCCGACTGCGGAGTACCTTCTTCAACTCATCAATGACCGCTCCCTGTCCGCCAACCCTGAAGGTACGCGCTAACATGGCTACATTGCTTGCAGGCAATGCGCACGCCACGTGGTTGTGTGTGCATGCATGCCGAGTTCCACCTCTCCCTGTACTCACACACACACCCCCTTCGAAACACAACACAACACAACCAGACCGGTCGTGGTCGCGGCTTGTTCTGCGGCATTTGCTGCCCGCGCTGTGCACGGGAACAGCGCACACGCCCTTCCGGCACTCGGTCGTGGGCGACACCAACTGCATTTCGCTCGCGTGTACCGTCGTCTCGTCGTATCTGCAGCGCGCAGGCGTTATTCCTTCAGAGGACGCTTCGTCATCGCTGTCGCCATCGTCGTCATCATCCGTGGGTGTGGCGCATGCGCCCACCAAGACGGCTCAGGGCGAACAGGCGGCAAAGAAGACGAGAACGACGGGCACAACCGCTGCACACGGCAACAGCGATGACGACAGTGATGATGGTGATGATAGTGATGGTGATGATGATGGCGGTGAGCAGGCTGCGTTTGAACGGCTGTCCATTACACAACCAACCGATTCCAAGATGGGCAGTGGCGATGATGACGAGTACGACGCATCGGCATGCAACCTCGCGTGCAATTTGCTGCTCAACGTGTTGGTTGAGGACCCAGCGGAGGCGCGCCAGTCCGCCTCCCTTGCGCAACTCGCACGCACCCTCGCCCCCACTCTCGCACGTGAGACGACTGTGTTTTGTGTGTGTCTGTGTGCGTGTGCGTGCGTGTGTTTGTGTGTGCTTGCACATATTCTTGCTGCCACTGGTGTTGCTCGTCTATGTCCTATCATTCTTGGATTGTCATACCTGTGTTTTTTCCCGCCACATACGTTTCTCCCACCTCACGCTTGCGTCTCCGTGCATGCCAAACAGATGCAAAGACGTTTGAAGAGCCCACAGCCCTGGCCTCGCTCGTCACCGCATACACAGGTGCGTACTGTGATTTCAACATGGCCTGATGCTTTCCGGCTTCAAGTTGTAGTTGTAGCTGCTCGCCGGCACACACAAGCGAGCCAACACATAGACATCAACTTCCACTTACCGTCACACATCCCACATCCCACATACTCCACCGCTGCCACTTGCTCTCACACCACCCTCTCCCCTCCCTCCCCTGCACCCCATGTCCTCTTGTTTTTGCGCGCAGTGAAACGGGACGCAGACCGGTGCGCGTTTGCCCTTCGCGATGATTCCATTCGCAGCGCCGCCGCCGTGCTTGCAGGCACAAAAAATACACTGTCAAACGCACAGCGCGACGACACTGCTGGCGAGAGTGATAGCCACATTGCTGCTGCTGCTGTTGCTCCGCTCCTGTGCAACCACGGCGAGCTGCTCCTGCTGCTGACAATGGTGTCCGGCGACCTTGTGTGCGAGGTGGACGGGAACATTGGAAAGGGCAGCACAGCGCTCACATACACGCGCAAAGATGACGGCGGATACGCGTGCAACGGCGGAAGCGGCTGTGGTGATGGTGATGGTGATGATAATGATGAGGAGGATGAAGATGATGAAGATGATGGGTTTGAGTATGGTGAACAGAGTGCGCGCAGCATTCAGATGAAGCGAACAGAGGCCGGGCGCAAGCAGGCGACAGCGCGGGCGGTGGCGGAGTGGTGCGAAGCCGTGGCCTGGCTCTGTCTCTCCGCACACACGCACATGAGTGATGCTAAGAAGCGCAAGGGAAGGCAAGCGAGGAAGCAGCAGCAGCAGCCTCAGCCTCAGCAGCACAAGGACGGGCACAAAGGAAAGGCAGCAGGAAAGAAGGGGAAGGCTAAATCAAGCAGCAGCAACAGCAACAGCACTGACAGGAACCATGGTGATGCTGGCGACGCTGATGCGTGCACAAGCGACACCAACAGCTATGACGAGGTGCTTGAGGACGTGAAGATGGGTGCGCTGGTGCATTTTGAACGGGCGTTGTCGCGTCACCGCTCGTGGCTGCTCCCGCGCCTGCAGCGGCACATTGGGCCGCCCGCACAGCAGCTCGACTGCATTGAGCTGCAGGCCATCCTCAGCATGTAGGCACGACGTTGTGTGTGTGTGTGTGTGTGTGTGTGTGTGTGTGTGTGTGTGTGTGTGTGTGTGTGTGTGTGTGTGTGTGTGTGTGTGTGTGAAATATGTGATATATGTGATATATATAGCTATATATATAGGTATATAAAAATCTATATATATACGTCTATGAATGTAAACATCCATATATATATATAGATGTATATACATATCTCGATGTCCATATGTAGCCCATCCCACACTCAGAATATCTCGCTCTCTCGATCTATCGTATACACATACACATATAAAGGATATATATAAATATATAAAAAATACAGAATTAAAGATAGCTACAGATATACATAGTTTAGTATATATATA